CTGCCATGATGGGGCATAAACCCGGGCTCTAAACTTCCTGGCCTCCAAAACAGAAAATAACACAAGTGGACGAATAATATACATCATCTCGGGGGAGAACACAGATCAGTCCCTCGGGTGAGGGGGAATTTTTCCTGGTACCCAATACGGGTGAGAACTCCCAGGTGAAATTTGGTTAAGGCAGCAGGTGAGAGGGTAGGGGCACCCCTTCTCCAACAGCCTTCTGCAGCGGGGGCTGCTCCCTGCCCACATCCCCCAGGGGGTGGGAGTGCTGGGGTCTTACTCTCTTGCACAGCCTGACCCTCCTCCGAGGCCTCTGCCATCTGACTCTGTCACCCTCTCCCTTACTCGTCACCATCTACCTACCTCCCAGACGTTCCCCTCTTTCAGTGAGGAGTGGCACCTGGCTCAAGGGATCTCTCTGTATTAAGTCTTGCCTTCATGAAAACTGGCTTCAGTGCCCAAGTAAATCAACACTTCCTTTCTCACCTTGTGTTTCTTTGACTCCTCGGCTGATGTGAGCACCTCAGTTGATGTTACCTCCTAAACACTTCCAAACTCCTTCCCATCTTCACACACTCTGGTCTTCGCCACCCCACAGCCTCCTAACTTATTCCAGCCTCTAAGCCTGCTCCTCTGGGTTCTTGGAAACTGAGCATGCCCTTAACGCCCTTCAACAGCTCCCCGTCATCCACATGCTGGCCTGGCCTCTAATGTTTCTAAGCATGAAGAGCCTCTTTCAAAATTAAAAAAAAAAAAAAAGATTTAGCAGAGCTCTGCATGGTAGAAGGTGTACTTTAATGTTCATTTAATGAGTCATTCACATAATGACTATGAAGCCAGTGAGGTGTTCAGGTAAAATTGATTTTTGTTACACAAAATGATAATTTGAAATTCTGTCATACCTATTTGTGCCAATGACTTTTTGCTTGGAGGGCCTGTGTACTTTGCCCCAAGCTGGGGCACAGTGGCCTACAGTGGTCTGCAAAACGGAGTCCACGCACAGACTCCGAGATGCTTCTGCCTCCCGCCCCTACTGTCTCTGCCACCTGGTCTCCCTTGCTCCCTCTCCCTCAATTCTATTAAAGCAACATGGAACTGTTTGTGCTTCTCCCAATATACTCGTGAACACACACACACACACACACACACACACACACACAGGGTCTGCTGGCAATTAATTGGTGCATAATAAATACCTCTTGAAAGAATAATGGGTAATATCCTTAAACCCACTTTGTAGCCAAACTTAGTGTCCAATTCATAAAGCTATTTACTCATAATGATTTTTGAGAAAAAATTAAGGTGTAATGTGTACAACTCATTGAGGGTGATTGGGTGACAAGTTAGGTCACTGTGGCCCAACTGGGAAGCCTGTTAGTGACCTGGCATGAACCATAACGAACCTACAGCTAAGCGTCGCTTTCTCTGATTTGCATTTCTCTCTTCTGAGTTCTTGCCAGGGTCTAGAAAATAAGCAATTCAAGGTTATGCCTCCTGGAGAAGAGAAATGGGAAAAAGGTCTCAAATGCTAGTTTGGGCCTGCAAACCCATGAACTTAGGAAGCCAACACACCGAGCAGTGAGGGATCCTGTGGTGCTCAGCCCTGCGGGACGGGGAAGGGAAGCAGGAGCCCCTGGTCCTCAGTTGGTTCATTCTCAGCACAGGAAGCAGGCACTCACCGTGGTCACTAGGGCCACCTGCCAGTTTTCCAGCTGCCATTCACAGCGGATGACAGGAGACACGACTGCTATCAACATGATCTCCATGGCCTCGGCAACCTGAAAGAAGGAGGGAAAACATCACGTCAAAGTGCTAGGTTGTCCTCACTTCTTCCCACATCTGCCTGTCGTCATCCTCCTAGTCATAACCTCCACTTCCCCTCCCCCACTGAAGGAGTACCTATTAAATACCCACTCAGCACTGCCAGTTGGATAAAGAAGTCTAGAAGAACTTTGGCTTTCATGGATGTAAACAATTTGTGGTTTGAACAATCTGAGAGCATCCCTCAAGATTTACAACACGTATTCCCTCATGATGTTGCTGATCCATGTTTTTGCATTTAGAGGGTGTTGTGTGGGGGCCAGTCACTTAGCTGGCAGGTGAACCTAGTCAACCACCAGCATCCACATCAACCGAGCGTTGCTGTTTCATACGCATCATCGTCAAGATTTCAGGGCAGACTCCTTGTAAATGGATCCTTGAAAGAGTCCCTGATTTCAAGAAGCTGGGATGGGAAGACAAGACTTATGAAAGCTAGAAAACAAGCAACAAGTACAAAACAATATGAGTTCGTCATCAGGAAAGAGTGTCTACTCAGCAAAATTAGTGTAAGATGTGCTACTACATATTCAAACTTTCCATAGAAGGAAATGTCATCCTCTGTCTGTATCTTGTAATTCATTACAGGATGAGTTTACCTCCCAGGGAAAGGAAGCAGTAGATGCGAGAAAAGAATTGAAAGAATAGATAGAGACAGACGATAGAAATTCAAGTTCAGGATAATGAACAAGGAGGATTCAAAGATGGTTCTAAGGTTTTGTGCACTGGAGGAAGAGGTGAACAATGATGTCATTGACTGAGACCAAAGGGCATGGATCAGGAGGGGAAAGGGGAAATTAAAGGGGGGAAAGATGAATTTGTTTGGGATACATTCTGTGGGTAATAATAGGATATTTGTGCAGGTTATTGATCATGGTACTAGTCGTGTTTGTACACCTTGAAGGATTAAAAAGGTATGGCTAACGTTAGCTAATCTGTGGGAATTTGAGGTATATCATAATGGCTTGTCTCCCCTTGCAGAGTATTACAGTCATGTTGAGAGTCAAAATACCTGGCTTGTTTTAGTCCAAAAGTTATCATGAGTAAGAGATAGCATGATGATCTCAGAAGACTGTTTGAATTATTAAAGTAATAAAGAGCAGTTAGGTCTATTAATATTCACCTGGGCATCACTCCTCTAAAGGGTCTTAGGAGGAAATAAGCCAGTCAGGGATAAGGCCCAGCCCCACTCTGATATACTAGCCTTAGGGGGAGGGACCAGCCAGAAGCTAGAGGGGCGGGCTTAGAGGAGCAGCACAGTCAGAGAAGATCTTAGAAGATCCAAAAGTCCTAGTCATGGACTGAGTCTGCTATGCTGCGGTGATGCTATTACACACACGCATGAGGTGTAGAAATCCAACTACCACTCCAGCCACCTCTGAGCAAGGGCCTGAACTGGCTGTGGCCAGGAGGCGTCACACCCATCACTGTCAACACCACTACACTGATGAGAAGACCTGGTCCACCAAGCAGCCCATCCTGAAACCAGAGGAGGGGTTTGGTTATGACAACCAAATAAACGGTTCTCTCTTCACTTGTGTGTGTGTATGGGGGAGGGAGGGAGAGGCCTGGTAAACAGCCCTTCCTAGCTGGTGGGCTGGGAAGAATTAAAGCAACCTGTTAAATACTTAATGATGAGAAGCCATTTTGCAACAACATCAAATGTAAATGTGCGACAGGCATACAATCTCCATGGATGTAGGTCTGGAGACAGATACCTAGAGGTCACCAAAATAGAGATGGCAGTTGTCCTTTGGAAAGGGGTACAGTGGCACTGTCTTTCTAATACAGGTGATAACTAACAGGGATGTACTACCTTTACATGGGTGCTTTGGTTGATTTGGCAGACAAAACATATCTACGTTTTCTTTTCACTTGTCAGAGGGCTATTATAGAAAAAAAAAAAAAAAGACAGGAGTCCCAACATACTTGAAGGTGAAAGATGCAGAGAGTTTCTAACACCATTTAAACCACTGAGACCATGAAATGAAACATACTAGAAATCAAATATGCAAAAAAGAAGTGGAGATGTTCTGGTTGAAAGTAAAGGAGAGTTGATGATAAAATCCTAGCTGTTTATACCTACTTGTTCCTTGAAATATGGAAGATGAAAAATGCAGAGCCTAGGTGAGACCCTACTTTATAAATGTTCTACAGTGTATTAAGACTAGGACGAGTCTTGCCTTTCTTTCTATACTCGACTGCACCCCGACAGTGCAAGGCTTTTGTGAGATGCATCAGAACTTGTCATATGCCACCTCCAGCTCGCCTCACTCTTCTTTTTAAACCATTTAGCTGAGCAGAGAGGGTCTGGGCTCTCTAGTGGTTACTTGTGGTCTCCTTAGCTGTCATTATCTCTGACCCAAAACCACTGTTGTCTCAGATTTTTCATTCTGTCTCATTATCGCTACCATCATACACAGGGGGCTCTTAACCTACTCTCACTCCACCTGCAAAAGCAGTGGTTTTGTGGTTCGTCCCACTGTAAGAGCCCTGGGACTGAGCTGTTGCTCCTCCTTCCTCAGAACAGCAGGTGGTAAATAAAAAACCCTCAACAGGGCTGCTTAGAGGAGCTGGGACTCTGTAATTACAACAGGTGTCCAGGTGATTCTTACGCACAAAATGTTTGAGAACCGCGTGTCTAATGTGACTTAAAAGGCTACCACAGTTTTCTCCTCTCTTCCCAGTGTCTCAAGTTCAACTTAAAAAAAAAGGGTATTGAATTCCCAGAACATAGAACACAGATATTCATTTGCTCATAACCAAACACCTGCCAAAGGTGGAAGAAAATTATTTTTGGATTATTCACCCCACCCCCCAAGAGTTCCTGCTTCCTCTCACACCCCTCTCCCTGAATGGAGGTCAGGGAAGCCTCTACGTGCCCAACAGTGAATGAGCTGTGGAGAGGCAGGCGATCTCCAAGGAGCACTCACCCCTGTGCTGCCCATGATCAGAAACAGGGCAACGTGGAAACGCCCGAACCCGATGGTCTCCACAGCGTCTTCCACGGTGAATGTCTTTGGCTCTAACGAGAAAAGGAAGAGTGAAAGGAACAGCCTCTGGGAAGGGAATGTGTGTGGATTATTGCTTGCCCTGGAGGACGTTGGAAGACCAATTCATTATTATAAAAATAGTAAATACACGAGAGGTGGGAATTAAACAGCTTGAGGACCAGAGATTTCTATGCTCCTCTTACCCTTTGGCTGCGGCTCTGGGGTCCCCAGGCTCAGCTCCCGAAGGCTGATGATGGTGACCGGCTCTGTCCGCTTGGCTGCCATCTTCCAAGTGGTTCAAATTCCCCACACAGCTTACCTGCTGGAAACGGGAGGGAAGAAGGAAAGAAAGAAAACTGAGCACATATTCTCCCTTAATCTTCACAAAAAAGTCAGTGAAGTAGGTATGATAATTTATCATTATTTTACTTATGAGGAACGTGAAACATGGAGACATTCAATCATGGAGAGGCTGAATGGCCAAATGAGGGGACTGAGCCCTTGTGACTAGTGACAATTTAACCCCTCGCATGCTCTGACTGGGAGTGAAGATGGGCTTTTCTCAGAAAATAATCACAGTAGCCAGTGCTTTATCTTCAGCTCCACAGATCCCGCGGTTAACAGGGTCACCGTATGTTATAAGGGGTTTTCTCGCACATGATTTTCATTTAATTCTAACAGAAATCCATGAAGCACTTCTTTTCATTTCCCCTTTTTTGGTATTTAATCCTAAAAAAAAAAAATCTTAATCCTAAAAAATCAAAAGGAAAATAAAACAAAGAAAGCTGAAGTTAGTGATTTTATTTTTTCAAATGGCTCTATGACACAGTAATTTAACTCTATATCCTTAGTGGGAGAAACAGAAACCCTCATCTGTTCTCGGTAATTGTATTGTTAGTAATAATGCTGGCATCACTATTTTGATACTAATACAAATTGTAGGATAAAGCAATTATGTTACTATTATTAGGAACCAAGGTTTTCAGTGCAAAAGAAAAAAATACAAAGATAAAGAAGTTATGTAAAAAGTTCATGTCCTAATTTTGAACTGGAAATATCAGTATGAATTCATTATGTGTTTTATAGATATACGAAGAAGAAGAATGACTGACAAGAATTGAAACCCATCAAAAATACCAAAATCCATTGTTTACAGGATGACTAAAATGAAAATCTCATTGATCATTTTTGGAGAATACTAAGAAACCAACTCATTATTCTGAAAACTAGGAAATCTCTTGCCTTTCTTGAACAGATTTTCTGTATTTCAGGGCAACCAAACAGCTGCTGAAAGAAAAGTATTTTTTAATTTCAGCTAATACATGCAGAAAGAAGGATGGAATTAAATTATCGTGATTTTGCAACTCCTAACAAAATAATGGATCCAAGCAACGATCATCAGCGCCTGATTAACTACTAGGTGAAAGGCTGCTGGAGAACTTTTCTCAGACATGGATGAGATTGATGCCTGAACACACGGACAATGTTCCTTACGCCCCTGAAAGAGAGACAATCAGATGTGACATGGCTCCTGACGAGACGCCCTAGGACGTATACACCCTCACCTGTGACATATTCTCTTAAAGAGAAACTGAATGTGAGTCTGATCAAGCCTCTAGCTCTGCCTACCAGTTTATACAGGGAATGAAGAAACACATTAAACTACACCATGTGGATGCAAGAAGAAAAATCCAGAATGTGAGAAGTTCTACAGGTTAATGACCGAGCTTCTTCAATAAATAAATGGCAAAGAAAAAAAAAAAGAAAGAAAGAAAGAGAGAGAGGAGAACCTATGAATTAAGAGAAAAGACACTAACTAACCAAATAAATGAGTTGATTGGATCTTCATTAAAAGAAACCACGTATAAAACAAGAAGAAGAATAAAGAGAATGAGCTGAGAAAGAGATGACAGAAATCAGGGACATGTAAGCACATTTGGAAGTTGGATGATATTAAGGAATCACTGGTGACACCTTAAGGTGTGACAATGGTATGATGGCTGCCCTAGAAAAAACCCTTACGTTTTAGAGACACGTGCTGAAATAGTTGCAGATGACATTCGATGGTTGGGATTTGCTTTAAAATAATTCAACGGTGGGGGTGGGAATAGGATGCAGAAGAAGGAGTTGAGTGTCTAGATGAAAAAGAGTGGCCCTCTAGTGAGAATTATTGAAGAAGGGAGGTGGGTACATTGGGGTTTATTTTACGATCTGCAGCTTTTGAAAATGTGTAATGTTTTTCAAAACAAATAGTTCAAAAAACGAGGTTGTGAGATTCTTAAGTAACATTTCCAGCGTCAGACCAGTAGTAAGTAGCAGAATCAGAACTCAAAGCTCCCCTTTCCCCAGAACAAACAGCCCGGAGCAGCTGTAGGGCAGCCCTTCAAGGTCCTGTCGCTCTGTCAAGTGCCGGCTCTGTATCCTGCTGTGCGGGCTCCCTGGGGAGAGTCCGGAGGAGGGTCTGACATGTTCCCGGCCCTAAGGAGTTTTTAATTCTGGCTGGAGACACCACAGATACACATAAAACAACTCTACTGTAAAGTCGATATTATTTGTTTTCTTAAAATGTTGTCACAGAGACACAAATATTCCCAGATGGGAGAGAAATCAAAAAAGCTCAGAAATAAGTCCATGAAATCCTCTTTCCCAAGGGAGACCGTGAAAAGTACAAAGAACTGTTATTTTCACAGAGTGGAAAAAATAAAAATAATTGGTCTCTCAGCCCATCTGAGAGCCTGAAAGTCACAAAGACAGACTGCTCTAGAAGCGTCGACTGCTCCCTTTTCAGACGTTGTTCAAATACCCTTTGGAGGGGTATTCTTTATCTGGTAACTTTAAAAATAATTACCCCCAAAAAATCACCTTTATTTGATTTTTAAAGAAATTCAGTACACATTAAAAATTGGCTATGTCTGAATACCGCATTTCTAGATGAGAGGATGAACTAACGCAGATTTAACTTGATCAGAATATGAAAATGAAACCACTCAGTGAGAATTAGATGATGGTGATGATTGCGCAACCTTGTGACTATACTAAAAAATCACTGAATTATACACTGTAAAATGGTGAGTTTCACTGTCTGTGGACCATATCATTTTTTTTCCCCCTAAAGAATAGTCATGAAAATCATGGCAGCAGACTTCAAAACCAAAAGTGATTCAAGCCATTTATGGTGTTACAGAATAAAACAATTTAGCTTGGTGGAAAAATAATTTTTAAAACTCCCAGTAAGTTTTAAGTTCAGTTACAACTGAAATGCTTAACAGTAAATGCAATCTTCAGCCAACACTTAATCTCGTCTATCAGTCAAGTTCTATGGCCTCTTGAACAATCTAAACATGTGTTACAATTTTAACAATGATGAAGGCTTACGTTTTAGGGGCGTAAAAACGATCTCCAGCCAGTCTTCTTGCTAAAGTATTGAGTGACAAGAAAAGGAACCCAGGAAATCTGCCACTTAATATTGAGTAGATAAGTTTTACTTTGATGTGTGTGTTTTAACAGATGAGGTAGCTCTGCGGGGCATAAACAGCCTACATACGTCCCTCCTCGTATCAGCAAAGAAAAGTGACTCCTCACAGAGGACCCGGCAAAAGGTGTAGGTCCGAGACAATTGCTTCACCATCTCTCTTGAATCAAAGCTGATCGCAGAAAGGGAGGCTCACATTTGCAATTTCATATGCGTCTTGATTGAAGACGAGACATATCATTTGGTCTCCATAATATGAAGAGAACCATGCCTTCAAATTAAAGTAAGTTATATGATCCAGCAGTCCCACTCCTGGGCATGTATCTGGAGAAATCTGTGGTTCAAAAAGATAACATGCACCCCAATGTTCATAGCAGCACTATTTACAATAGCCAAGACACAGAAGCAACCTAAATGTCCACTGACAGATGACTGGATAAAGAAGCTGTGGTATATATGTACAATGGATTACTACTCAGCCATGAGAGGAACGAATTAATGCCATTTGCAGCAACATGAATGGACCTAGAGATTATCATACTGAGTGAAGTAAGTCAGACAAAGACACATATCCTATGCTATCACTTATATGTGGAATCTAAAAAAATGATACAAATGAACTTATTTGCAAAACAGAAAGAGACTCACAGACATAGAAAACAAATATGGTTACCAGTGAGGGAAGAGAGGAGGGAGGGATAAATTGTGAGTTTGGGATTGGTAGATAAAAACTACTATGTACAGAATAGATAAACAACAAGGTCCTACTGTACAGCACAGGGAACTATATTCAATGGCTTGTAGTAACCTGTAACGAAAAAGAATATATGTGTATAACTGAATCACTATGCTGTACACCAGAAACTAATACAACCTTGTAAATCAACTATACTTCAATCAAAAAGTTTAAGAAATTAAAATGAGTTATTTTCTTCTATCAGATTTGCAAAAACCTTAAAGATTGATTATACCCAGTGTACGAGAAATAGGCACTCAGGGTATTGGTCAGAGGGGACATGGCTACATCCCTTCCAGAAGGCAGTTAGGCAAAGATGAAAGAATGCTGACTAAACAATTTCACTCCTAGGATTCATCCTAATGAGCGAGTCAGAAATGCGAATGAAAATAAAGGTATACGGATGGTCATCACACTGATGTTTTAACAACAGCAACAACAGAAAAATTGGGTAAAACCTGAATGCTCACCAGGAAAGAAGAGGCCAAAAAAAATTATAACATATTCCTGTAACAGAATACCATTTAAAATAAGCTCTTAAGTCAAAGGCTATTTGGTGTTGAAAAGCATTTTCCAATATGTATGTACCTAATGTACGTATATAGGGATCCCAATTCATAAAATTGCATGTAAATACGCACCCGCGTAGAAACTTCAGGAGAGCGGTCTGAAACCGCGTGAGGTCTTTTGACAAATATTCGTGGAGAACCATTATGTATCAGATAATAAAATACAATGAAAAGGGTTCCAGCTCCCAAAGCACGCACAGTCTGACGGGGAGCAAAGGGGCGTATTCAGGCGGAAACAGTGTGGTCCCAGGGCGAGCAGAGGCGGCTCTGGCCACGGAAGGGAGGCGCTGCTCCGCCGAGTGCCGGGACCCGCGGAGGCAGGTCCTGAAGGACGAGGAGGTTTCGGCCAAGAGAAGCAGGTGAGGAAAGAATTAGCTGGCAGGTAGAATCTTGAATGGGTTTTTCTTTTTTCTTTATACTTTTCTGCATTATTTGAATTTTTAGAAAGGCTATTTCTGTTACCGTGAAAATTCTTTCTGGAAGAAAAGAACCAATAAAGGGGTGCCGTTGACGCGTCACTCAGAGGGCTCCCTGAGCCGCTGTCCCAGGTGGGACACGCGCCCCACCTGCCCTCTGCTGACGGCCTTGACCTACTGGGTCAGGGTGGGCAGGGACCCAGAGACAATCAAATTATTGTGTGGCCGTAAGTCCACAAGGTGGCCTGGCACAGAAGGGCCCATTTGCTGGTGGTGGCGGTTGCACAACACTGTGCAACTAAATGCCACTGAACTGTTCACTTTAAAATTGCTACAATGAAAAATTTTATGTTCTGTGTATTTTCACGTTATTTCAAAAATGAAAAGAACAAGAAAAGCCATTATATATGCAGTAAATGTCTATAGTATATATAAACCACAAATTACAAGAAAAAATATTAAGATCCTAATAGATTAAAGGGCACATTACAAGAACAGGCAATTCACAAGAGGATATATAAATTACAAACCAAACTGGAAAATCATTCCTCTTCTGTAATAACTGACAAAGTTTAGTAATAAAAAATCTTTAGATATTATTCTATACCTACTAAGTTAACAAACATAGGAAGGAAAGAGGAAATGGAAAGGGGGAAAGGAAGAAAGAAGAGGGAGAGAAGGAAGGAGGGAAGGGGAGAGGAGGAAAGAAAAGGAGGGATGAAGGGGGTAAGAGCAGGGGTGGGATGAAGAAAGGGCGAGAAGGAAGCAAGGGAGGAGGAAAGAGGAATTAGAAGTGACAAGGAGGGAAGAAGGAGGAAGGAAGGGAGGGAGAAAAGAAGGGAAGTCAGTAGCCTTGGTGAGATTGAGACGAGATTCTGTTTCCTCACCTGAAAATAAAAATACTTGCAGGGGAAATAGCTTGCTGCCTTCCCAGTAACAAGCCTTCCCTGGTACCTTGCTGATGGGGTGGCCACTGAGATACAGGTGGAGGTTGTTGCCTCTCTGTCTCCTCCCCAGATCATGGGGATGTGATGGCTGGCACTTCAGCAGCCATCTTGGGTGGTGATAGAAATGTGAAGGTGGAACCACAGACACTCTGGGCTAAGTCTGGCAGTGCATACGCCGGAAAGAGCCTGTGACCTGGTGACAATGATATGGAGCTCTCCTACAGCCTTGAACTGCTTACCTCCAGACATATTTTCCATGGGAAAAAAATAAAGCTCTGTCTTGTTTGTGTGCTTTTTTTTTTTTTTTTGTGGCTAGTCAAGTGAAGGAGTGGGAGAAGAAACAAAGAAATTTGTCACTGGCTGTGATCATTGTTAACACCACTGCACTTGGACTAGCCAGGTGTGTGCAACTCTTAACTGATAAAGTTCCTTCTCTGATGTGTGTGATGCAGATTAAACGAGATGACGCTTGTAATAACATGGCGCAGTGCCCACTGCAGCATAAGCACTCGTGGCAGTGCTGTTTCTCATCTCTGAACAAAGGTATCAATTACATTTCTAAAATTTCACCATCACCACAAACCAAATACACTCCGTTTTTAAGTATCTATGGAGTTATCAAATGCATATCTCCCCAAAGACATTTATTGCTAATATTCTGCTAACATTAGAATAACTTGGGCTCAAATGAAAAACCACCCAAATAGGGGTGGGGTTACCTGTTTTCTAAAATAGATTGATTATATTTCAAGGGTAAACGTAAGTGGCACTAGGAAATCCTCACATGGGCCACGTACCTACTGGAAAATAAGACCGAAAAAAACCTTTCCAGCCAGGTGTCTCACGCCGATACCCATTCCACCCAGTCACCTTATACTTATAAAAGGCACAACACAATGAATAAATTTCACTAAAAACACTCTTACTCTACATTGCCTTAAATTGTAAAATATGTGTATCATATAGAAAGGAAAACCTTCCTGACGTGGAATGATGTAGGGGAGGAGCTGGGTGAGAAAAGGGCTGGCAGTCACGTGTGACTCACTCTGACTTCACTTAGAAGAACAAGGCTGTTCTGCTTCGCCAATTGTAACATCAGTCTTTCTAACACCCAGCCCCTGAAGATGGTCAGAGGGGTTCCCAATGTCAGGGGAGGTTGCCAAGAGATGGAAAAAACAAATGTGCAACCTACCTGCAACAGAGAAACTTCTCATTCCTGCCCCAGTAGGTTATACGGGGTCTTCAACAACAGGGTTCCTCTGATGGGGGCATGTGGGGTAGCGGCGGGGGGCCAAACACTCAAACACTAACTTGCAGTTAACAGATAGGAAAAGTACTCTCTTACTGTTTCCTTGAGTTTCAGCCGAACATTTCGTTAAAAAAGTTTCCATAAAGGGGACAAAATGTTTCGGAGATGGATATGAGGAATGTTACTGAGAGACAGAGCTTGCAATCTCAACTTTGAAACTGAATGTTGGAAAAGCTGAGTTGGCACCTTCTGTTCTTGGCTCCCTGAGTCAATCTAAGTCCCTTATAACCAAGGAAGAGGATGGATGGATGGATGGATGGATGGACGGACAGACGGAGGGAAGGGTGGATGCCTGGTCAGACCAATTCCAGAAAATGGGACTAACACGGCGAAGGACACTCCATACCTCTCACTAGCATTCCTTAGAGACTCCAACACGCAGGTAACCCACTGCCTGCTTTCACAGACCTGACAGGTTGGGGATTTACTGTGGAACACAGGGCTCAGATGAACTTCAAGCTTCATTAAAATAAAATCTAAGGGACTGATGGACATTGTACTCTACTGCATTTTGCTACACTTAATTATTTTAGCCAGAAATAATTGGGCCCCTATAGAGCGTTTTAAAACTAAACTTCTGTCTGTGTGATGTAATTTGTTTTGCAATATCATCAGAGCAAAATTTTTATACTCCATCTGTACTCTGCCAAGCACTAATGGTCAAAGACCCCCACCCCAGACCAAAAAACAAAACAAAACAAAAGATCCAGATCTATGTTGATCGTCAGAGTTTCTTACCTCTGTGTACTTCCTGGAAAGCTTTCCAGTCTCGGGCTGTTTCGCTCCCCCTTACTGCAGCCACGTCTCATACAGAAGTTGGACCACTGATGGCCTCTTGGGGACTTCTGGACTTACCTTCCCAAGAAGGCTGGCTCCAAGGTCTTCTCCTCCTTTTTTGGCTCAGTTCTGTGAAGATTCTTCAAGAAACAGCCCTGCATCCTGGGCGAGTGAGTGACATCCAGGTCACACCCTCTTCTCAGCAGCCCTTCACCCGATCCCTTTTTAAAGGGGAAATTACATCTCTCGTTGAGACAGAACGAGGCTGCCAAACCTTGGAGGAAACCACCATGCTGTTCTCAGGAGGGCCAGGGATTTCTGAAAGAGTAGGGATCTACTCCAGGGGCAGAGGGCAGCCTTGCTCATTCGAGCCTTTTCTCCCAGCCATCACCGTTTAGACTCAAAGGGCAAAAGGCTGTGATCCATCTAAGCCAAGCACGTGTTTAGATAACCGCTGAGAAGGGCAGTGGTGAGCTGAGGACCTTGAAACTGCCCAGGGACCTTGGCGGCATGGGCATTTACGGACTTACAACCACCGTTAGCTACCGCTTTCGTCTCTTCTTTCCTTTGATAGGTATCATTGGCCAAGTACCCCGTCCATGCCCGGTGCTCTCTGATCCCCTCCCACAATGCAGAGGAGTGGAGACCACTATTCTCATTTCGGCAAGGAGGGGAATAGCTCCATTTCCTGCCTGAGGGCACGTGTGATAGAGCATCAGACTTGGAACTCACAGATACACCACTTCCGGCTCCAGCGATCACTCTTGGGCTCAACCTGTTTTAATCATTAAATGAATACCTGTTGAGCATCTAATTGTGCCTTAAATTGTGCTGGACAAGTCATGACACTGGCATAGAAGGTGACATGGATGCTTCCCTGGGTTTGAGCAATGACATTTCCATGAGCACCAGTCAACCCCACTACCCAGAGGGGCGGGTGGGAGCTTAAAAAATTAGCTGTCCAAAAGGTGATTTTGAATTTGATCAGACCTTCTAGAATCCTATTAAGAGCCAGATACTACGTGACAATACTTCCTCAACTGCAAGGCACTGCACCAGTGTGAACATAGTTCCATAAAGATGGCGGTTAATCTGGATAAAGGTCATTCAGATGGACAGTCAACGGAACACATCTTATTCTATGCCTGGCTCTTGGGAGTCTGCCAATCTCGGTGCCTGAGAAATGACTTTGGGGCCAAACTGATCAGAGAGTGTTGGGGCAGACCGTCCAGCAGTCTCCTTTCCGGCAAGCCATTTTCCAGAATGTGCCCAACTCTACAAATCTTCTTCTCCAGTGACTCTAGCACAATATGCGTTGAGAGTAAACAAAAAAGATGCTGATGTCATCTGGTTACACTTCATTCCACAGGATTTAACAATTCTGAGAGCCATGCTGGGGCCAAGAATATTACCTGTTCTTCCTCACCTGGAGTGAAAATTCATGAGAAAGTTCCTAATCCTGTAACACTTAGCCCCAGACAAGGGGGAAGAAAAGCTGTTTGAGGAAGGAGGAAATCAAAGAATAAAACAAAACAGAATCTTTCTCTAGGATTAGTTTAGGTAGCCCTATTGTTCAGCTTTGACCTATAATTACCAACACGGAATTTTACAGAATACTGCTGAATAAAGACATCTTACAGAAAACGTGAATGGCCCAGGAGTTTATTTTCTTACATATAATACTTAAAATATTGCAAAAAACCAGCAGTTCAGCTCTCCGCCCTCCCCATTTCTCAATCATTTCAGTGTTCAACAATGAAGGCCCCCCGTGAGGTTGACATGACTTGCCTACATGGTTCCTCTATGACATGGTTAAGTCATATCAAATCCCACGGCTGAGAGATAAATTATACATGGCTTCCTGCCTCCGGTTAGCCGAGAACAATCATCCCATTGACGGCGTGCGCGGGCTGACGTTAAAGACGAGACCAAACCCCTTTCACTGGCGCAGAGGCTGGTGCAGGAGGTGCTCGGAGGAGGAGGCGGCCGCAGCCGCCGAGCTGGCAGCTACTCCTCGCCTGTCCCCTCCAGGATTTGTTTAAAGGAGAATGGAGAAAACTTGTAACCAGCCCCGACGTAGAACTTGTTCTGGAACTCCACCCTGTTGTTGGGGGCAAGGAGAAGGGGGATGGAACACATAAACTAGAGGCTGGCAGCTGGAGGGGAGAAGCAGAGAGTCTGTAAAATCAAGTACCCAGTGTGGAAGGCAGGTGCCTGGGGAATCCTCTGAGGCTTTTCTTAAAAACATATCTTTCTCTTGCCTCCATCTGACACCTTTCCCACCCTCTCCAGACCTCTGCTAGTGGCCTCAGGCCACAGCATAACGGGAAGCCCTCACTGGCCAGGGCTGCCTCAGGAGCGGAGTCACTAGGTTATCTGTGGTTTTCTGTTTCCATCCTGGTCTTAAACTGCAGGGCTTACATCATTACAGAACAACCAAAGCCTTGACTTACAACTTTACAACTTGCATAACAGATACCACGTGTGATTGTTTAGGTTTTATGATGTTGGACAGTTCATTTCTTTAATGACATGGGGAGAAATGATGTCATAGCCTCAGGAGGGGGGGCATCGGGGTTTTCTCCAGTGAACACGTGAAGTGTGAAAACTTTTCTGTATGACGAGGGGCCCTGGAGGGAGGTGGGCAGCATCAGTGAAGCTAAAGACGGCCTGGGAGGTCCAGTGCGCACGGAAGCACCGATGCCTCAGTGCACTCGTACACTCAGAACCCTTGACTGAAACGTGACTTGGGAGAGAAACAGAAGCCTAAACAAATGTTCTCGCAACCGTAAGCCCAGGGATGGCCGACGGTCTCCGGGTGTGTCTGTGAATGTCAAGGGCCTCCCGTGAGCGTCTTCGTCCTGGTGGGCACCCTCCTTCTGCTTCTGCTTCCCCAGAGTTTAGTAGCCTGTTCTGTTGGCATAACTCCTGCGCTCAGCAGCAGGGGCCAGACATCCCAGATCCGCGCAGCCTGCGCTCTGTGAGCCTTTCAGATCTGTCATCTTACCAACACTCGGGGGTTTCCCTTATTTTGAAGCCAATTATAATAACAAATGAACATTTAAAAGAGAAGGCGTGAATGGGAGCTAACGTGCCCTGCAGGGCAGCCAGTGCATGTGCATATGTGTATACGGATATGGCATCATTTCACGGTACACCAACAGGTGACTACACTAAGGTTCCAAAAAGGCACATGAGTTGCTAATGTCACACAACAGGTCAGAACTTGAACCCAGCTGGCTGGCCCTACAGCCCACCCTCCTTCCCTGGAGCACACTGAGAGCTCTCAGGTACAACCGTCCTTACCAGTGCAGCCGCAGGGCGTGCAGGAAAGCGGAGAGGCCCTCCATGATCAGAAGGATGGCTACTGTCAGGACAGCAAACACAGCAAAAATGACAAAGACCCCAGCAAGTCCTCCCCAGCCTCGCACGCAGAGGCCGATGTTCATCACCATGGTCCAGAGCACCTCGGACAGTTCTGCAAGGGGCAAGAGGAACAGTCTCAAGCACACAGTCTATCTGGCAAATGAGGATTGTTCTTACACTGTAATCCTGGACCCGCACACCCTGTAATTCAGAAACTCCAGCCCCAGGTGGGGAGTGCAGGCACGTGTGCCCCGGGTACCTGCGTGAGAATGTCTACGGCAGCTTTGTTCACCGTGGAGGAGTTTCCTTCAAGGGGACACGTGTATGGTGGCACACTATTCACCAAGGAAAGTGAGCCGCCTAGATACTGGCAGCAACATGAATAAACATTAAGTTATGCCAAAGAAGCAAAACACAAAAGAACGCATGCAATATGACTTGATAGGCACTGAATGTTTGTCTCTCCCTCAGCCCCTCAAATTCACATTAAAGCCCTAACCCCCAAGTGATGGCACTTGGGAGATGGGGCCTTTAAGAGGTGATTCGGGTTAGATGGGTCACTCGGGTGGGGTCCTCATGATGGGATTAGTGCCCTTATAAGAAGAGATACCCTAGAGCCTCTTTTCTCTCTCTCTCCCTTTCGTTCTCCCCCAGGGAGATATCATCATCACAGGAGATGATGCAAGGAAACCAACACAGCCAGAGTGGTCAAGAACCAAACTAACTCCAAGCACTGGCTTTTCTGCTGTAGATCAACAGTCAGGCTCCCCTTCACTGCTGTGGTTTCTATCCATTTAGCACACACCTTGGCCTGGCTACTCTATTCTTGGCATTATGCTCAGTGCTGGGCATGCAGAGATAAACGTCAGGGTCCTTGCCTTTCAAGAGCTCACAGTCTAACAGGGAGACAGGCTAATGAGACAAAATTACAATTAGTGCTAGAACAGGGGCACCTCCAGAACGCCAGGGAAGGGCACCTTCCAGACTGGGGATCAGGGAGGAAGACGACCAGGGGAGGTGACATCCGAGCTGAGCTCTGAGGGAGGAATGAGACATCGGATGGGAGGGAGTTAAAGAAGGGAGGACTATTACCCACAAGGGAGCCGTGGGGCAGACACACAGCGGGGCTCAGACAGCCTGGCACCTTCAGGAGCCTTGACGCAGCTCCTCGCGGCCACAGCGTATGAAGTGGGGGCAGGGGGACCAGCGGGACACTCAAGAAAATACCAAGAGACAAGACTAGAGAAGCAGGCAGAAATCAAGAAGGGTTTTACACAGCAGGTCGGTGAGTCAGGATTCCAGTCTGAAGTCAGTCTTGGGGCTTGAATCTTTACCGAGGCATGCAAGCAGCCTGTGGAAACTAGAAAAGGCAAGGAAGTAGATTCTCCCCTAGAGCTTCTGGGGAAAACAGTCTCCAACACCTTGCTTTCAGGACTTCTGGCCTCCAGAACTGTAAGGCAGTCAATTTCACAGGGTTTTAAGTCTGCGGTAGTTTGTTACAGCAGCAAAAGGAAGCTGATACAGAGGGTAAGCATTCCAGCAATAGGAAGCCAGACCTACTGGAAAAAAGTCACTTCTGCTAAGAAAGGAGAGCCGCTTTTCCGGCAAGCACACCAGAAGTGAGCCAGGGAAGGCACTATCACCCACAAACACACTGCGTCTGTTTCCAAAGGGACACTGGCTCGTGGCCCTGCTGGGCGGCCCACTCACGTGCATGCGCCAGGCTGAGGGCCCAGAGCCGGAGGTAGGACGCCGTGTTTGAAATGCAGCCCAGGCAGTACTCGATCGTGTGGATGGCCTGATGCACAAAGACGTCTCCAAAGTTGAACTGAAAGAGAGAATTTTTAATTCCATTTCATTAAGTACTTCCTACATGAACGTATCACAAGCGATACCCAGATGAATGAGGCCTGGGCTCTGCTGTTAAGACATTTCCAGTTGAACGAGGGGGAAATAAGTATTAATCTGCTTGCAGAAGAGAGACTGGTTGGCGTCGGGGAGGTGTCCCAGCAGGTGAGAGCTGTGCTGAGCCTGAAGGATGGGGAGAGAAAAAGCCAGATCATTCCTGGTAAAGAACATGACTCCAGGTAAGGAACAGACAGTGGTTGGGAACTGCATGAAGGCAAGTGTGGGAGAAAAACCATCCAGCTGAAACTGGGAGCTTGCTGAGGTGAGGGGAGACTCAGCTATGAATGCTGCTGGAAAGGCAAGCACATGCAGAATGGAGGTGACAACCGGTGTCATGAGAAAGCATAAAAAGTACCTTAATAGAAAGTGACGGGGGGATAAAGAAATAATGGGAGGAAGGTTAATCTGATAGCAAAATGGATCAGGGAAGGGATAGCCTAAAAGCAAAAAAGCCAACTTGTTGATTAGGTTAGTAATCCAGGTACAGAGGAAAAGAAACATCCATGCATCCATTCTTTTCCTTCATGCACTCTGATGTTATGGGGGAAAGAATTTGACTGGCACCACCCCTGCCCTCAAACAGCTCGCCATCCAGTAGGGAAAAGATGCAAACAGACAGACTGTCAGCGCACAACAGCACAGTGATCAAGAATACAGAGGTGCTGTGGGAACACAGAGGAGGGCCCCCCACCCAGCAGAGGTCAGGGTCATACAGGGCTCTGAGGGCCCTGAGTCCAAATAGATGAAAGAATGGCACTGACAGAAACAGATACATTGGAGAAAGGGAATGGCTGATCTGCGTGTTGCATTGCAGGCCATTCCAGCATCATCTCTCGGCACACAGCAGTAGAGGCAGAACAGGCTCAGAGGAAAAGCCTGGGCTGGAAATGGACACCTGGGACCACACCTGCGGGAGGAGTGGGCGTGGGAGCTAAGAGGACCGAGAAGACTGGCAAGGGGACATCATGAAAAGAAGAGCCTTGGGAAACATCTTAATTCAGAGATAAGAAATTAAAAAACAAAAAACAAAAAACGATGATGGAAATGAAAAGTCAAAAAATCAGGAGGAGTCAGCGGGCTGCAGTCCAGGACGTGGAGGCTGGAGGGATATGGGGGCTGGAAGAAATGGGGGCTGTGGTCCCGGGGAGTTGTAGTCGGATGCCATGGTGAAAAGACTAAATTCAATACCCTCCCGTTCATCAGTGAAAACAGTGAGGAGGGACTCACTGGGCGGAGGTGGAGAGAGTGAGTAGAGGAGTGTGTAGTGAAGGGTTAATCTCAGCCAAAGAGAAGTCTGGCTTCGTCCTGGCTCCCAAGAGGCAACCTCTAAACCCCTGGCATTTCCCAAGTGAAAGAAATGTCTGATACTTATGGTCCACCCCTGGGACCACACCTCATACTTCTTGCTAATGAAGTGACGATGGTGGGCACGTGACAGTTTACGAGGGAGCTGGCCTCGCCAGAAAGACCAACCAGGTGTTTTGAGATGAGGCTCTGAGCCACTTGCTATCACTCCAACCCGATCTCCAGGGAGGGGAGCGAGCTGGAGGTTGAGGGCAGCCACCTGGACTGCACTTGGATCAACCACATCTACATAGTGACATCACATAAAACACTGGACACCGAAGCTCAGGTGAGCTTCCTCAGTTGGCAATACCACACGCATGTTGTCAATGCTGGGAGAGTAATGCATCCCCGAGGACACAGAAGCTTTGCATTTGAAACCCTCCCAGGGCCACATGCTGCCTGTGTGCCTCGTCCTCCGGCTGGTTCTGATTTGCAGACCTTCACTGTAAAGTAGCAAAACTTTAATGGAAAGTATATAGCATTCTCTTGAGTTCTGTGAGCTGTCTGCAAATTACTGAACCCGAGGGAGTCTAAGAGGACCCCCAAACTTGTGGCTGGTGTCAGAAGTGCTGGGTAGACTTGGCGGTCTGGAGAACTGTGCCCTCAACCCGGAGCCTGGCTATCTCCTGGTGGGGAGAGACAGGAGAGGGGCCCTGGACGGGGAAGCAGAGCCAAGTCTAGATTTGCCTTGTGCCGGAGACCCATGCACGGCTGTGCTGGGGGAGGAAGCCGTCCAACGGAGCCTGAAGTTGCCCAGCCAAGGGCTACCAGTTCATGGAGGAAGTGACAGGTGCACACGGACTGGATATTTACTGAGGCCACGAGGAGCATGAATGGTTGTACTGGACAGGCTGGGACCTGATGAGTCAGAAGATGCATGGGTTGGATTCTAAAACATTCCAGCTAGTCTGACAACCCTAGTAATGCCAGTTGCCACTAATAAGGGTTACTCTCAGGACCTGGAATCTTGTTAGGAAAATTTTCCACAATTCAGATTAATATTTCATTAATTCTAATTGGGTACCCATGAGTGCAAAAGAATACTTTTTAAAAAAGTAATTAACACCACAAATGGAGCTACTTATAGTATCTCTCAGGCCTCACAGGATCCCTGTCCCCACCTCAGAACTGGAACAGAGCTCTGGTTAAAATCTCTGCAGCCTGGGGTTCAGGACTGTGGGTGACTCCAGTCGTGGATCAACAGCGCACTGCCTTATCTGGGAAAACATGGCACATTCCTGAGGGAGTAGCGGCTGCCCTGAGACAGAAAAGGGCAGGAGGGAGGAGAGATGAACACAATCTGTGAATTCATGTGACAGGCAGACAAGGTTACAAAGATACGTGAACCATGTCCAGACAGGGCCAGGGTTGAGAGGGGAGGAGGGCTGGGAATAAATAACCCACTTCTTACTTCTATGCAAGGGACTAGATTTGGGCTCTGCTCTCACGGTTAGAGGGGCACTGATTGGAGGGGCACATGATAAATCTAGCAGACTCCCCAGGGCATGGTTCTGAGCCCAGGAGGCCTCCGTAGCATATATGTCACTAAATCGGAGGCTGACATTCACACATAGAGCAGCACCTGGCGAAATTATTAAAATGCTCCCTGATTGGTTGGTAAGTAGCTGTAAGCAGAGGTGCCCCCCTCCCCTGGGACCCCCTCAACTTCCCATGACTCAGGGGTTACAGGGCTGCCACCAGCAGGGTCCTCCCGACCCTCCCAGCTCTGCTGCCCGGGTCCATTCTGATGAGCTGGCGCCCACGTGCTGCTGGCTTTGTGAGCGTCACCCCTGACCAGGTCTTGCTTCTAGAACCTGCACAAACTGGAAGTCTTCACAGGGTGTCAGGTCCCACATACCTCTTCTTCATGGTCATCCTGAGCCCCATGGGCACCTGCAGAAGCCCGCTGACCAGAGCTCGTGGGCGGACCAGCGTGGCCACCTTCAAAGTCCTCAGTGGCATTGTCTTGGATCATGGTTGCCTGCAGCTGTCCGCAAACAAGAAAGTGAAACGCTGAATTCATCCTTGGAATTAGAATTACTAAAATTCTCTATAAAATAGAGGTTCTCATTAAACATCAGCTATGCACCGGATGCTGCTCTGCGCGCTCTCTAGTCTCTCACTAGCCTTCCTAACAGTCTTCTTATGGGAGTACAGTGATCACCCCCCTTTTGCAGAGAAATAAACTGCAGCCCTGGAAGGGCGAGAAACGAGCCCAGGATCACACAGCTGGTAGGGCTAGCCAGGGGCAGAGCGAAGATTCAAACCCAGGCAATCTGATCGACTGCTTTTCTCCATGGTGTTCCAGAACGTGCCGGATTAATCACAGTCTCTACAGGAAGCCAAAAGTCTTGCGACCTGAACAGCCAGATTTCTATAAGCAAACTAACTGGGAGAGATTAATGGGCTGGCCTGGCCCTGAGTGGTTCTGGGGAGGAGACACGTGGTCACCGGCTGTCTACGGGGCTTATGGTTAAAGGGCCGTATCACAGGTGGCTGTATCACTCAAGTGAAGGGGTTTCCTAACCACATTCTGCAGGGGTCCTGAGTTACAGGATTACAGAGAACCCTTAGTAGAGGGGACCTCTGTTCAAATCCCCTAAGGCCCATCAGAACAAATTTGTTTATAATCTGTATGTACTGAGCCTCCTTAAGGTTTCATAGGGGCAACTGGGAGAAAGCCAGATAACTCCATTACGGAATCATCTCTTGGAGGTCAGAGAAAGTGTTTCAAACTTGAAAAAGGACCAGCTAATCAGCCAACAGCCGTGCCTCCCAAGGGCCAAAAAGGCTGGCCTCCAAGCCATCTTCGGGAGCTCCGGTCACCCAAGGTCAGGAGGTATCATCGAAGATGGCAGACCATCAAAGCCCTCTACTTCCTTCCCCGTTGTACAAGTCACCCGTGGGTGCTTTTGCAGAGCAAAGAGCAAGACAGCCTATTGTTTGAGTGTCCTGGGACTCAGGTGAGCCAGCAGTAACCTATGGACAGGCTGAGTTCTAGGAAAGAGCGTTGCATCTATCTCTCCAAAAAGGTATTTGCCACCTTCCTTTGAAACACCTGGTCCACCTCACCCGTCATTTACCATCTTGGTTTCTCACCAATTAACCAAACAATAAACAAGTATTCTTTGCTCTGCCTTCCTATGTATTTAGATCCCACATTAATTATATTTCAGACACGCTTTGGATCTAGTCAAGGCTGGCAGGAAACACAGTGGGAGGAGAGGCAGGTGATTTAGAGAGGGCGCCATCTAGGGACGAAACTCCTGCACTCCAGCCTCGTCCCCTCTGGGTCTCTGACTCCATCAGCCAGGTCAATATCCAACAAAGAGTTTAGGGAAAAAAGGAGTTATCTGAAAACATCTACAACCATTTAAAACATATGCGATCTCAGCACAGTCGGCTTAATCTTCTGTACTGACAGAGGAAAGCGAGAGACTGATCACCTCAGCAGCGCGTGTGTGTCCTTTCTAGATTCTGGTGCTCCCTGGAAGCTTAATCTTCCCAAATCCTATCTGATCTCGGCTGATAGTAAACCCTTCTTCACTCCGAGTAAACCTGAGGCTCAGGAGAAGTTTAGGCAAAAGGAAGAAGAGGGCTGGAACTGGTGTTTGACATTAGGGGAAATGTCACAAATAAACAAGAACGGACTTAGTGGCTTTTTGTTGTTGTTCTGTGACTTTGTTTACTCCCTCTTCTGGCTCTCTCACACAATCTGTCACTTAATACAGTGAAAGCTCACAACTTGGGAATCCTGATGAAAACAACTTTCAATATTCATTAACCACTAAAACTGTAGTAGAAGACTCTTATTTTCAATAAGAAAATTAAATAAACAACCAAGGTCAGATTCTTAGAAGTCATGAACTACCCCAGACGCAGCACACACACCCCAAGCACAGGTGGCCACGCAGAAGATTAAAGGTGACCATTATGCTGGAAATAAGAAGACCCCGAGGAAAAGCCAGGCTCACAGAAGGAAACGCACCTGGAGTGGGTCAGGTCCTCACCTCACCAGCATCCTTGGGGTCCTGGGAAACCCAGCATCGTCTCCAAACCCCTGACGTATATTTCCAAGAAACCCACATTCCTACCCAGCGAGTGAGATGAAATGAATGGCGCTTACCTGGGATTTCCGATGATTTGCTCTAAGAATAAATGGCTTAATCAGAAGCATCCATGGCACAGAAATCAAAGCCATAATAACAAAGAAACTTTGGACTTCTTGCTGTAAGAGCAAAATGGTAAGATCCTATCATCTCAAGGTGACTGCAGAGCACACTTCATATGACAAAATGAGAAACACGGATCATTTCAAAACACGGATCATTTTGGTTGCACTTTATTTGAGGAGGGCTAAAGCATTTCAATGAACCCATTCACCCTCCCATCATGGGACAGTCCCACTGCAGAGAGAGAACTGCCAGCCCTGCGGTGCCCGGGGGCCAGTCATGCCGGCACTGGAGATCCCTTTCTTTATTCCTTCCTCTCCAAGCGGCCCCGTCTCACACACCCGCGCTACAGGGAACCCGTCATTGGGCAGAAGTGCTCATGAGACATATCGTAAGGGCAACTTTATTTGTCACCTGTCCCTTTAACTCTGTTCCAGAGCAGGCTCAGGACATCACCTGTCACTCTGCAGTGACCAAAAGTCCTTGAGTCACTTGAAGTCACAAACATATCTCAATCAGTAATTTTATATTTCCAGTATTACTGAGCCCTCTTGCTCTCTCTTTCAAAAAAAAAAAAAAGCCCTCATAATCACCACCTGACTTGCACAGCCTTATTGTGGGCGAGTCACCCAACAGGTTCTAGGAGGCCTACGCTGAACTCTCCTTCACAGTCTCTCTCTCTCTCTCCATCACAATTCACTTTGGAGTGAGGAGTCTAGGGGCTTCATGCCTCATTGAAACCTGGGAGTCATGCCATTTTATCATCCTGTTCTAGATCTCCATCCACATCCTCACCCCCACCTCGTTGTCCTACCCTCCCGAGTCACTGGTTTTGAGGCATGACCCAGGACTGCTACATTAAAAGAACCAGGAAGCATCAGAAGGCTTGGTCAGAGCTGTCAAAAAGGCATGGAAACTGGGTGCTTGGAATGAAAGGAAAATCGTTTCTTGAGCCCTCACATTTCTTTATCAACTCCGGCCAAGCTCCCAGGGAGACGGTGCATTGTTACCCCCATGGTAACAAGACTGACCTGGACGGCAGTGAGAAGGCCTTATCTGCTCCGTCTCCTACCCACCTCCACTCTGAACTGCTCACCAGATGGAGAGGGACCGCGGGAACACACACCGCACCTGCCAGGCCCAGATCCCCGCCCTCGGAGCTACCTCGTGCCGTCTGTCCATTTTTATACCACAGTTTCCCCTCACAACATACAAAGCAACCAGACATTCCTATTTATCTGTTGCTCTTCTTCTTTGACTAAAGCAGCCAGGGCAGTGGGGAGGGGGCTGTATTTATTAACTTACACTGGTCTCTTCCAGCTGCATGAAAGGAAAATGAGGTTATGGAAACTTCAAACTGTGTCAAGATAATTAATCTTCATACGAGGGTGTGGAAGCCAGCCAACTCCAATGTTGTTTAATGGAAAAAAGCAATGCTCAGTGCGCTCAGGGAGGGCTTTAGTCTTTATGAAAGGAATACTCGGTGAATCTGAGACGTGTTTGGGAAATCCAAGGAAATGATCATTTGGACTCCAGCATCGAGCAAACGAGCCTTCCAAACACATTCATTTAACGCCAAGAGTCTAGGGCTGGTTCATACCCCACTGGTGTAGAACAAGCAGGTGCCACCCCAGGAAGGCGGGATACAGGGGAGCGTTCAGAGCGCTGTCTTCTCTGATTATAATCTAAAACCATTCCTTGTTTTTCCTTCTTATTTGCTGCATCTCTAAAGAACACAGTGAGGACTCAGACTCACAAGGACGTGCACAGCTGGAGGAAGAGCATGGCTTTAACCGGGACCCAGGACGAGCAATGGCTGGCAGGTGCCATGTGCATCGAAGGGCCGCCCCGTATTGGGAAACCAGCCCTAGGGTTGATCCAGAGGAATCAGAACCTAAATAAGTGGGGCCTCCTTTAGGGAAAACCTAACCCGAAAACCGCAGCATCAGGCACAGCTAGGAGAAGCCAGAGGAGAAGAACTATTTGCGTTGTCAAAAATCCCTCTCCTGGGACATTTACGCTCTTTAAAAACTAAACACCAAGTTGATAATGAGGCTGAAAGAAACAGAAGAAGTCAGAATGGCGAGAATACCCCATTGCTGGTTGGTACTGCTGTCCATGGAAAAAAAGCCCAAAGAAAAAAGACGAAAAGCTCCCTCACTGGCCACGGAGGCTCATAGGAGAGTATGAATTGGGTTCCTTTTTCCAGAAACTCAGCACCCATGTGAACAGAGGGTCTCCTCTTCTTGACTCTATTTCAATTTCCTCTCCTGTGAGAACCTTACCTAGAGTTTCCTTTTATTATAAAAGACAATTAAATTTTAAGGTGTTCTTTAGAGTGTTTACCGTCTTAAGCCACTCAGATTGAAGGATTATTTTTTTCTTGCTTCACAGATAAAAGGTACAAGCCAACTTTCAACCCCACAGCAGTAATCCCCCTCAGGTACCACCCAAATAGGAGCGGCTAAAGCGGGCAGTTTCTGGATGGTGGCTGCACCACCACACAGCACTAAGCACCTGGACAGTCATCGAGAAAGAACTTTCTGAAATGTGAAGAACCTAACACGTTGACTGGGTGCCGAGATGGCTGAGCCTCACAAACAATTACTCTCTGCCACACTCAAGAGCGGAGAGAGATTTAACAGAGTCAAGTGCACAAAAGAAGAAGAAAAAAAAAATACCTGATGTTCGTACAAGGGTGTGTTCGAAGAGTCGTAGTTAAACAGGAACATGTTGATGAAGTGGATGAGGATGCTCGGCGCCCGCCGGGACATGGAGACGTCAAAGTAGCACCATTTGAAAATAATCATGAAAACCAGGTATCCAAACAGACACAGGATAAAAATCATCTCAGGGATGAATTGCAGAATGATGTTGAGAGTGTTTCTGAAGAATCTGGGGATGGGACGCGCACACACACATACAAGATAGAACATTGAGGCATATTGATAACTCACTATTCTCGCCAAAGTCCTAGCTGTTCCTTTCTTTGACCCTGCATCTGCTCCCCTGGCAAGCAGCAATCATGCACGGATGGAAAAGAAGAGAAAGAAGGGTGCTTTTGCACAAAGCATTCAGAGAGAACCAGGGTGTAGGGGGAGACGTCTGAGGACACGGTCAGGCCCACACAGACAGCTGGTGATCCAGCCACAGCTCCCCAGGCAGACCTAACTCTTACCAGCACAGCCCAAGGCACCACATACAGGAGGGTCGTCTGGCAGCTTCTCTCCAGTGATGGCCCACGGGCCAAACTGAGCCCATCGCCTATTTTTGTACAGCTTGCAAGTTTAAAATGGTTTTTGCATTTTGGAATAGTTGGGGGGGATTAAAAGAATAATATTTTATGTTACATGAAAATTATAGGAAATTCAAACTTCAGTTTTCATAAAGTTGTTTGTTTTGTTTTGTTTTTTTTTGAGAGTTATGTTTTATTTGGCAGGAGGACTCGAGCCGAGCCGGGATGACAGCCTCTCAGATGGCTCTGAGGGACTGCTCCGAAGAGGTAGGGGAGGAGCTAGGATATATAGGACCTTTACAACAAAGACCAGGTAGTTGGAACAATAAAAGATTACTTGTTATCTAAAGAAAACCAGGCATCTCAAGTTAAAGAATTTAGTGCTTTTCTATGTATGGAGGAAGAAAACATTTGGCTCATTGAATCCATTCCTTTGACAAGCACCTAGCTATCTAGGGCCAGCATCCTGTCCTTTCTTATTCTGAGTCCCCTCAGAGGGCACACTGTGAGTGGCTGCAGAGGCTGGGCTGCAGGCTTGTCTTCACTGGGGAGTTTTCATAAAGTTTTATCGGAGCACAGTCACACTGGTTTGTTTGCACACTGTCTAAGGCAGCGTTCACGCTACAGCACCACAACCAAGGAGTCGGGACAGAGGTCGTCTGGCCTGCAAAGCCTAAAACATTTACTATATTGGTCTTTACGGAGAAAGTTTGGCAACTCCTGCTCTGAGACATGGAGAGAGTTCCAGGTTAAGTTGGGGGCCCCCCAGTTAAAATGTCAGAAGGGGCCCCCATACCCTTTGTTAATTGTAAGTGTTACTGGGGGGAAGAGGAGATCCCATCATAAAGCAGGGTGACTGGAGACAGGTGAGGCCAGCCTGACACACGATGATGCCAGTCGCAGTCCAGCCCACAAAGTCCCTCCTGGTTTTATCCCCCACTGGATTCTCACAGCACTTTCAGGCAGGCAGCTGTACCAGGCACTGTCACTCGTTTACTCACTAAATAGTTCTTATTTTTCAATTAGAATCATATGTCTATTAGTTTTGCAGTTAGGGGGTCACCATATGGCCGGCTCTGGTCAATGAAATGGGAATGGAAGCGGTACATGTCACTTCCAGCAGAAGCGTAAGAGTCGAGTGTAACTGACCACACTCTCCTGCGGCGGCAACTGGCAGCTTCCAGACGGGGGCCGCCCATCAGCCCCGTCCCAGGGTGAGGAGGAGATGGGCAGCGCCCCCTGGTGGGCCCACAATGACATGAGTCATGGTCTTGAGCCACTGAGATTTGGGACATGTTTGCTATTCCGTAATAACCAGACCTATTCGGACTCCTCTCTGCCCATTCTAGAGAAGAAAACAATCTCAGAGATGTTAACCACCATGTCTATGATCACACAGCTAGAAAGAGTTAGAACCAGAAGCCTACTTGCAGATACAGAGAACAATCCAGGGGCTACCAGTGGGCAGGGAGGCAATATGGGGAGGGGGGAGGTACAAACTAGTGGGTGTGAGACGGGCTACAAGGATGTATTGTACCACACGGGGAATATAGTTAACATTCTGTAATAACTGTAAACGGAATGTAACCTTTCTAAAGTATATAAAAATTAAAAATTTAAAAAGAAAAAAGAAGAATTAGAACCAGGAGGCAAACTTCTGACTGCATCATTTCTGGGGCACTACGCCGACCTCCTGGCAGGTGGGGGTTCAGCAATCCCTACAAGCCACCGTGTCTACAGAAGGGGTCTCCAGATAGGCATGTTTGAGGCCGTCCTCAAACACCTACAATTTAGCGCAAATACGTAAGTTTGAGAAGCTTTCCACAGAGAGATCTTCACAGAAAGAAAAGAAGAGATGGGAGAACGTTAATAGCCAAAGGAGTGAGGCAGACGCTGCTCCAGTAGGAAATAACTACACCAAATGGAATTCAGAATCTGAGGGCACCCTGGCCAAAAAGCACTTATGTCCCCATTTGCCCACTGCAGGGAGCTAGCTAAGGGAGCTGGCTACACCACCAGCCCTCGCAGGCTGAGGGGACACGAAGCACTGTGGGCTTGTAGCCTCTTTCTGAACCCTTGAACCCTTGAGTATTTCTAAGGTGAAAGTGCACCCACCTCAGAGAGACTCAGCTCAAAAAAACAGAGGTGCCGTTTCTGGCAAACCAGCTTGTCCTAGCTCAAGTCAGGGACATAGGAAGGCAGTCCCGGAAGGAAGGAAACATGCACAGAGGGACTTATGACTGAACTGTGGCTCTGTCGCCGCTCACCATCCACGTGGTCAGACCAACAGGCAGGAAGTTCATCATGAAACTTACATGTGATTGAAAAGGCTGAGAATAACGCCAAAAACCATCTGGACAATTCCCAGGATCACCGACATCTTCATCTTATAGGAGTTCAAAAATGTCAATTTGTTTGAAGCCAGGTTCCAAATCTGGAAGGGAAATGTGCAAGAACCACATGAGATCAGAGTCTAGAAGTTCTCCCGGAGTTGGGAGTTAGAGCACAATTTCCCCTGAGTGAGTCACTCCCAGAACCACATTTTCAACTTTTTGTCCAGTTCAAACTGTGCATTTTAGTCTCAGAAAAGAAAATGGACCAAACTCCTTATAAATGCAACTTTAATGACAAACATGTTAGAACTAATAGTGCCATTAGTAAAACATCAAGTAGCTGGAAGAAAAATAATCTGACATGATTTTTCCTCTGTTCTAAGTGAGAAGATATTCCGAAACGTTATGGCGAAATCTCAAACTTACCTGGGTTCCCTTATTACTCATGTAGATGTCTGGCCCATGAATTTAGCCAATCCCTTCTTGATAATACCACCTTTACTCTGCTTCATATTACAAAGCACTTCCCCAGGCCCTTCTCAAGAAGCCACTTCTGTAGCCAGCATTTATTGGCACTCTGGGGGAAGACAGGGTCCCTGCCTCCTACACGGTCTGTGTTTTAAACAGAGCTGCCAGGCGTGCACAGAGAGGGACGCGTGCGCCCTGCTCACTCAAGACAGACACACCGAGCAAGCACTCAGAGTGGCTGGGGGCTGGTCAGGGTCTCACCCTGGTTAAGGGCCCCAGCCACTAACTTTCTTCTTCCCCACAGAAATCTCAGACGCCCACCCACATGCAAACAACTCAAGTCCTTGCTGCTACCTCTGACCCCTCCAGAACATCAAGCATAAGCTAGACTCATTTGGAGGATTTGCTACACTGTTTCTCAGGAGTCACAAAGGCATGGGGTCTTCTTATCTTTCCTCCTCGACTACTTCCTCCTCCAAAGTCCTTTGCTTCTGCTCAAGGGTCAACATCCATCTAGCGCAGCCTCAGCGGATGGTCTCCCTCCCCCTCCCCCATGCACACGTGGCAGGAACCACATCTCACTGATTCTGTCTTGACGATGTCCTGAGCGGCTGCCAGCTGAACAATCGCTAAGGGGGCTGCTGGGAAGATGGGCAAAGGAATTCCAGTAACAGGTGCCCCGACATCAGAGGCACCTCCACTACCCTCTCCACCTGCTTTGGCATCGAAGCTGCACCAAGCTTGCCCTCCGCCCTCTGCTTTTCCTTCTGCCCGCCTGGTTGGCCAGTCCCTATGGGATCACACTACACAGTGAGGGCAGAGTTACCAGTGCACCGTAGACAAAGCTTAGACAAACTAAACATGTTCATGGATAAGTGCCAGGCACATACTAAGCTCTGTAAGTGCATGTATCTCATTTAATTCTAACAAAAACCCTATGAGATAGATACAAACATTCCCATTTTACAGATAAAGGGATTTATCATAATCTCAGGGAGATTGTTACTTACACACCCAGGAGAAATAACACAATAGCAAGTGGAGTGTTACTCTGTTCATGCACCACAGTCTGTTCTGGGTGTTTTACCTATAAAATTCATTTATTTTTCTGAGCAACTTTATGAGGGCTGTTATTATACCCATTTTATAGATGAGGAAAACAGAGACACAGAGATGTTACCTTGCTCAAAACTCACAAAGCAAGGAAATAGAAATGCCAAGATTTAACCACAGGCTGTCTGATTCTAAGCCTGGGCTTTTAACTATTGCATAATGTTCATTGATTATAAAGTATTTACAAACACCTTGAGAAAGCCCCCTCACCTCTGCTGCCCAAATATTTTGTGATTTGATTCACAAATAGATGCTCAACACAGTTAACAAATGCAGCTATAGAAATTTACATGACGTAAAAATCAAACCCTTCGTGCATATGTATTAAGTGCTAATATAGGCACAGAAATGTTCTGTGAATGAGGTTATCTCTGGGGAATCAGACTGCAGGAACACGAAAGGTAGGAAAGACTACTCTTTCTTTTCTTTTTTTATAATTTTCTCATTACATGGATTTTTGATCATACATATATCATCATTTTATAATAAAAAGACCAGAAATTTTCAAAAATCTAAATGTTACTAAGAAAAAATTAATTATTTTCAATACCCTGCTTTCCCTTTCACCCTCGCATCTTCCCTTTCTTTTCTAACTAGTGGGCAGATGACAAAATGGCATGCAGAGCAGAAGCGAGACCACTCAGTTCTCAAATGTGAAATGCATTTTCCTCCCTTTGTGAGGAGCAGCACCGGGAAGACAGGGTTTGCGGGTGCATTAGATGTGGGCTGTGAAAGGAAGAGACAGGACAGGAGGAGCAATGAGACTCAAAGCAGAGGAAGGTCAACCAGACCCTGAAACCACCCCCTCCTCTACTCCCCAGCTGCCTGCTTGCTAATCATGAAATTCCTTGGACCAAAGATACAGTCTTCCCTCCCAGTCTACACAAATAATAACTTGCATTTATTCTTAGCACTTTGCAGCTGCCAAATCAGCTTTCAAGGACTCTACCTCTTTTGATAAAACTTAGAATGCAAGTGCCCCTGGGTGGCAGGCATAAACCAATCCTGGGTGATGCTGTTTTTATAAGGGGGGGGGCAGACAGTGGGAGGACCCAGGAAAACTGAAGAGGAGATGACCCACAAGATAGGAGGGACCAGAGGACCAATTTTATGGCCAGTACTATTACTCTTAACTGTCAGCAATTAAAACTGTGGTCCCACGTTCTCTTCCAACAAAAAGAGCGCAGAGAAAAGGTTTATGGACTGCATTCTGCCAAGTTCAGTTCTAGACGCCTGTGCCCATTTGGAGCACAAGGCCGCCACCTGGTGGTGATATGCGCTGGGCCCTCGTGTGTGTTGCTTTGCAAGGAAAGGCCTGTGCGTCTTCTCAAAATCCCTTTATATCTGAAGGCCGTGCAAGGAAGCACCTTGGTTTTGCTTGGCTCAAATCCAATTGAGGTAGATATTAACAAACAAAAGGTAACAATTTTTTTTAAATCTTGTATCAATTCCATGCAGTAAACAAAAACAAATACAAAAGCAAATCCATACTTTCCTAGGAAAAAGGAAAAGTTAATCACTGCAAGAAAATGCCAAAGCTGGGAACTTGGTTAGGATGCTAAATTGAACAGAACAGAATGTTGGCCACTAATATGCATACTTTGCAGGCAACCAAGGGCCTTTTAAAGAAGCAATTGTTAACCATCAGGGGTATAATTGAGGAGAGACAGATGTTTGGGAATTGCATGGAAAATGACCCAGGGGCTGGGTAAAGGGTGCAGGTAGGACTTTTACTTGAATCCAGTGCAGAAGTCTCTAGGATACGTTATTCTATCTCAACACAAGTTTGTGGATTTGACAGGTTCTGGTCAAAACATTTTACATAACAAATATTTAATCTCAGAAGACATTAATTACCGGATCAATCCCAAAAGGGTATGGATTTCCAGAGTACACTCCCGGAATGGCTGGGTCCAGCTGTAAATACGGGTTTGTTCCCACTACCTTCATACTACAGAGGGAGGAAGGAAAAACAAAAACAAAACCAGTGATCAATCAGAAGTAGGACAGACACAACATTGTAAAATGATTATAAATCAATAAAAAATAGTTAAAAAAAAAAAAAGAAGTAGGACAAAGACTATGGTGCCATCAGTCATGAACTTGCAAACCAGCCAAAGCCCAGCTGGTGGTGCAACTCACCAACTGGTTCATTCAATTATTCCACGAATGGGTACTAAATACCTACTATGCGCCAAGCATCGTCCTAGGTGCTGAGGCTACAGAAATTACCACCTGGCCCCCAAGGAGTTCTTACTTTCTCAAGGGCTTTCAGCCTGATGACGTATAGTAAAGAAAAAGTTACAAACATCAGAAAACAGGCAAGGAGCAGAAGAGATGGGAGCATAGAGGAAATAAAACCCAGCCCTGTGACCAGCCTGGGAAGTCTCCACTGGGAGAAGGAAAGCCCATCCCTGAGGAGTGAACCGACCTTCACACACACACAGGCCCCTGAAACGCAGCCCCTGAAAGCTGTAGTCCATTGACTGTCTTTAAATCTGTGTCCCGTTCTCGCCCAGAAGCACAAGTGTCAATGGGCAGGAGTTTTTTATCATTTCTAACCTAAAGGAGTTGAGAATATTAGGGCTTAATTTTCTTTTTTTTTTTCAAGAGCACACATTTGTGGAGGAGCCCAAGAATGAGTATTTGAAAGCATGAAGAACAGAATGTTGGCCGCTTTGACAGGCTGCCTAGAAACACACTCCCTTCCTCCTACAGCTGAGATGCTGGGGGTATCTGGTAGCTCGGGGGTCCAGGGGGATCAGGAACCCCAGCCGTGCTGGCTGGGCCCTCCATGACCATGGAAACAGCTGGCCCTGACTGGCCATCCCAGACACAGGCCCCTGTCCTAACAGCACGCCTCCGTGCAAATGGTTGGGTTTAATTAGCAGAGATGTGTTTGTGTGTCGACAAAGGAAAAAGAGGGAACTGGCCTGGTGCCCACAGCCGAGCTGCGGCCTCTGCTGTTGAACATAAACACTTCGCAGAACAACATCAGTGAAGGCCACCCGGGGGCCCTGATGGATCAAGATAAAAATAAGGCCGTTCCACGATCATATCTGATACCAAAAGGTGGGCATTTCAAAATAAGGACGTCGTCCAAAGTACAAAAATCACCAAACATTCCCTGATGGTCTCAGCAGCCAAACCCCCGAAGCCCTTCTAACACCCGTCCCCAGGGGGCGCCGTCTCCCTCTCTGAGTCAATAAAGCCAACCTCGGCGATCACACACGTTTCCGGTGGTCTGTGGCACCAGAATGTTATGAGAGGGTCTCAAGTCCCCTGCCGGGGAAAGCCGGCCCAAGACCTAGCCTGTGGCCGGTGACCACAATCAGCCCGCTCTGCCCTTCGCCTCTGAGGGGCGCCTCAGCTTTCCTTTGCCTCCTTGCTGGGGAGGGGCTGCTTCAGACGCTCCAGGCTTGGGCGTGAGGCTGAGCAGCTCTCACACTGGGCTGGGCCTCCGACGGCCTGGAGTTGGGGCGGAGGTCATCGTGTGTGCCCCAAAGACCAGCAATCCGGGCAAAGGGGAGGGGATAGCTCGGTGGTAGAGTGTCTGCTTAGCACATGTGAGGTCCTGGCTTCAACCCCCAGTACTTCCAATTAAAAAAAAAGAAACAAAAATAAATAAACCTAATTATCCCCCCTCCAAAGAAGAAATTTTAAAAAAAATTTTTCTAAAGACTAATATTGCAGCCCCGCTTGCAGAGTGACAGCAAGTGGCAGACTCAGGCTTCCTGTCACATTCGGCGCAGAGGACAGTCATGTAAACAGTCTGATGAAGTTATGCTGATTTAACATGTTTCAGATTCCACCCCTATGCTTATGAGCTTAAATCTGAAGAGCAGAACTAAGCCATTGGTCTTGAAAATCTAGGAAAGTTTCGTCCTTCCAGGCATCTCTTCAATTAGGATAGGAATTACAAAGAAAAACCAAAACAAAGAAAACCCCACAGGTATCCCCGCCTATAATTGTAATTCTGGAAAATGTTTTCTCCTTCATGTTTATTTACTTATTCATTGTTTAACATTCCTGTTCTCTGCCAAGGGAACTGGCCCCAGCAGAGGGACTGAAAGGCAATGCATGGAGCCTCCGTGACACCCCTACCTGCACTGTTAAGGTCCCTCCGAGCCCCACCGGGCACCAAGCCGGCAAACGCACTTGGGAACACGCCACGCCAAAAGGAGCCCTGCACTGCATCTTTCCTAGCTGAGAAACCCTAGGACGAGACAGATTGTGTATTGTCTTCCCCCACTGATGACGCCGAGTGCAGATCTGGGTAAGCAGGTGAAACCCCTAAAGTATCTTAGAAAAGTGTAAGTCCTCCCAGGCTCGAGAGAGAAAAGATGGGAGGCAAGGCTGCAGATATGCCCACACATCTCTGCCTTCACTCTCCTCCAGTGCCCTCCTGTCACACTTTCAGCTGGAAGTTCCAGAATGAGACAGAGAAGCCCGACGTTGACTGGAGGAAGCTGGGCGGGCGGACGGAAGGGAACCCAAGAAGTAGCCGAAACTGCTGTGGCTTTCTCGGGTGTGCGACACAGACAGCCCAACATCCCTCAAGATCACAGGGGTCAGCATTTCCACGTGCTTCCCTTCAAAGTCCCCTCTCCTCCACTACCCTTCTCTCTCCCCACAATTCATCACCCTGACCCACCTCTCAAACTCAAGAATCTTCCTCCCCACAAACACCTCCATTCCTGAAGCTCTGTTTCCGTTCTGATGACTGTGTGTGTGATGGACGGCACCCTGGCTGCGGGACGCCTGTGGGAGGTGTGGTTTGTGGGGACGTGGAGAGCGTCCACGTCTCTCTTCCATGCAGCCCAGACCTCTCCTCACCAGCCATCCCTCCTACCCCCGCCTTTCTCACTCAGTCAACCACAAATACAGGGAACCAGCATCGCAGAACTCACCGTCCCCTCCTTTGCTTTTAACATTGAATCAATCTGCTCAGGAAACCAATCATTCATATAGTTCAACACCTGCATCAGCCTTTTGTAAACCAACCCTTCTCTCCCAAGTGCCTAGGTGCATAATTCCACTCTTCCTCAACTCCCTGCCAAGCAGGATATGTTTCAAATGCCACCTTCTTCTCCCGGAAGCCTTGCTCCCAGGGCTGCTCCTCTGATGCCCAGTTTATAGCTGCCCCACCGCTGTTTCCACACCAGTGCCTGGCATGGGGGATGCTCCCCATGACTCACACTTAATTGAGCTGAAGTTTTAAGAACTATTTCCATGCGTTACAGTTACCAGCACAGTTACTGAGGAAGTGGCCTAAGGTCTCACACTCAATGGATGAAACCAAATTGTTTGTTGAGGGGGTGGGTGCACCTCTGAGCAGAGCCAGGTGTAGAATCCCCCGGCCAGGAAGACCGTCACTGCGGCCATCGGATGGCCAGTGAGCGACCCGTCCCTGTCCGGACTTACTTCCATGTGCCATTTCTGAACATGGGCTGGACGCTCCAAGAGGAGCCGAAGATGCTGAGAGACTTGGAGAAGCAGTCGTTGTAGATCAAGCCCGTGTAGATGGAGAAGATGCCCATGAGGAGGATGAGATAGCGTCCGTGGAAGAAGGTGTTCCAGATCTGGCCTCGGGGAGACAGAGGACGACTGTCAGTGGGCTCTAAGCCCAGCCCCAGGGGCATGGGAGTTACAGGGTGTCTCCAGCCCCACTGGCACAGCCCCAGTGCGGCACATGGGCATCCTGCACAGAGGGGCCACGGCGGGGAGCAGACGTCAGAGTGATCCCAATAGAAAGGGCACACACATCGTGAGCTTACACGGGTGACTCAGTACAGTCTTCAACTGGTAGTTGTTACTGTGGAAACAAAACCTTATAAGCCTCCTATTCTTTAATCCAGCCTTGGTTAGAAAATGTAACTGAAGGAGAAGCTGGGGCTTCACCTGTGAAGGAAGGGACTTGAAAGTGGGCGGCTTCTGTTTCTCACGTGCTTCCAGGGCATAAGAACGGAGCTGCCTCAGGCAGGGGGCGGGTTGGGGTATAGCTCAGTGGTAGAGTGCATGCACCGCATGCCCGAGGTCCCAGGTTTAATCCCCAGTACCTCCACTAAAAAAATAATAATAGCAAGTTTTTAAAAGTAAAATGAGGGGGGAAAAAATGGAGCTGCCTCATATGCTGCTAAGTTTTATGGCAAGTTAAATCTGCACTCATTGTGGGTCTCATTGGAACACCAAGCCTCTGTCTAAGCACATCCACTGAGAGCAAAATGCTTTCTGTAATACTGGGTGACGCGTATCGACCATTCTCAGAAAGGCTAAAGGATAAGTTTGAGACTTCAAATATTTATTATAGGAAAGCACATCTGATCAAGTGCTTGTCATGGAAAACTATATTGGCCAGTTTGTCCTCCCACTAACCTTGCTTTTGACTGACTTGCTATGACATGAGCAAACTAGCTCGAGTTAAGTCAACTTAATTTCAAGGTTGCAGATAATTCTTAAAATCACGAACATAGATAAAAGCATGTTTCCCGTTTATGAAATGTGTGACCATGGACATAAAGTGATGCTGACTGATTAATCTGGAAACAATGCAGACTTGAATTGTCTCACCCTTCACAACACTGTGAAGGGTCTTCACGGAGAATGTGGAAACCTTGAGAAGTCACGATATTCAGAATTTCTCGGTGTTTCCTAAAAACGCTGATCGTGGGCTGATTGTAAGAGAAAGGCTCAAATATGAAAGAATATCTGTGATATTTTGAGTGAAAAAAAGGAGGTTACAAACTAATATGAAGTATTTGATCCCAATTTTTGAAAATTACATCCCTGTGTATAAGGACAGAAAAAAAATTATGATTTTTCTCTAGTAGTTAGATGATTGTACTTCCCCAATTTTTATAATGAATGCATATTGCCTTTATAATCAAAGAAAAAAATCAATGTTAGGAAAATAAAAGTAAACGAAAAGATCAATGCCTCGTCAAGCAATGTACAAAAAACAAAGATGCTGAAAGGAACTGCACCAAACCATCTAAAGGATTATCTTTGGCCAGGAGTTTTTATGTTGAATTTTGGTCCTTTTCATTCTCTGTCTTTCCCTTACTTTTTAGAACAACATGTTATTTCCGTGGTGAAAACAACATACACATTTTTACTGTTCCACTTAGAACCTCCAAGAACCAAAGCGAGACATTTGATGGACACTCACCTCGTTCTTCGTCTTCTGGGAGAGCAAGCGTCTCTCATTAAGGACCATCCAAAGGGCTGCCAGCAGCATCACGATTCCATGACCACAGTCTCCAAACATCACGGCGAACAGGAAGGGGAAAGTGATGATGGTATAGGGAGCTGGAGAGGTGAGACCCACAACAGACTGAGTCCTCCCACGGTCCCAGCCTGGGACCCACATCAAAGATTTCTCTGTCACACTCCACAATCTCCAAGGTGGTTCCTGTGTCTTTCTGAGCCTGTCTTCCCTCACCATCCCCACCCCTGCTGCCCGCTTAGCTCCTAAAAACATTAGCTCATCAGTGAATAAGCAGTATTATTCCCCACTTCACAGATGTGCTGAGTTTTGGGGTGACTAAGTGACTTTCCCCAAGATCATAAAGTTTAATGGGATTTAAAACCGGTTTTCTGTCTCTTAAGTGCTTTCTATACTATTTCTGCCAGCACCATTTACCTGCTTCTCCACCATTCACACGCACCTCATGCCTCTAGCAGTTACCCCGGGCCCCTCAAACGGAGGTGGCCGCTGCTGTACGGGTCACAAATTAGACTGGGACTCAGGCTGGAGAGAAGCGGCACCATGAATTGCTTGGCTAAAGGGCATCTGGTCAACGCCTTTTTTTAACTAACAAGACTCAGTAACACAGCTTACGTCAGGAAGAATCCAGTCTTCCCACTCCAAGTCCTGTGTGTGCCCCTCTCTCGCACACAACTACGGGACTGTGAAAATGCCTACGATGACCCTACAGATTGAATCGATAAGGACACAAGAGCTGAATCTGACTGCCTGATAAATCTACAGTTTAAGGGAAAACATGTGAAATCTTGACCAAGAGCACATCTTTCACTAATCACCATTTACACAAGACAACACAGGTATTAGGAAACCGAATAAGATTTTAGGAATGTCACCGTTCAAAGCAGTTAACTGCCTGGGCCACCTCGGGGATAAATCTTACCAAGCTGTGCAACATCAGACCCCTTTACCTGGGTTCATCTCCCGGTAACAGCCGACGCCATACGCATCGACAATATTCTGGAAGCCAGCTGTGAATTTATTGGTCCTGTTAAATGTGGGAGGAGCTGTTTTAGACTGCACTGCTGTCATGATGGGGACCATGGAGGAGCCACTCAGTTCCTGCAGAAAGAGCATACGAGAAACATGTAAGGAACGCACACAGCCTTGGGCTGGGTGTCGGCACATGGATCCCAGCCCAGCTCCTGCCATCACTTACTGGGGGAACTTGGGATGATTTCTTGACCTCTCTGAGACTCAAGACTCATCTGTAAAGTTAGTACGTATCTAATTTATCTTACAGGAGAGTCGTCAAGAAAGTAGAGTTCCTCCTGATCCTCTGGCAATTTCTATTCTCCCGCTCCTGCAAACGTATATGCTACGCCCAGTTCTGAGCCCTCTTCTCTTCTCTTCTCTTCTCTCTTTCTTTCTTTCTCTCTTTTTTCTTTCTT